TGACATTGTCAAAATAATTGCTTGTACTGTAGACGCAGATTGTGACGTTATTCTGATATAACACTGCTGTGTAGACATACCCTAAGGGTGCATTTACACAATAGCGCTTAACTCAAAATAAGCTACGCTAACTGAGCTATATCAATTGCATAGCTTATTTTGAAATAGCTTATTTGAAATTGGGAGTGTCTACATAGCACTCATTTTGAAATAGAGCACTCTTCCTCGTAGCACTTCCCTTATTCCTCGTACAATGAGAGTTACAGGAGTTGGAGTAAGAAATCCTCCAGTTTGACAGTATTTCAACATTATTTTGAAGTAATTGTCGTAGACTAAATTATTTAGAAATAATGCTAGTTATTTTGAAATAATGTTGCTATTTAGACGTCCTCTAAAAGATCTTGTTTACAGTTGCATATAATTTTGCCAGATTTTAACTGTGGAGATTTAATTTTCCATGCAGGTTGGCAGAAATACTTTGGAAAATGTCATTAAAAATAGCTCAGACATTTCTGAGAATGAAGTTAGAGAAATATATTTTGAGAGAGCAATGCAATATTTCCAACTCTCATGATCTCGTCATGAGTCTGCAATGGTATTTACTGTTCTTGCTTTCAACTTCAGTTCCTGTAATCATATAATTACATGAGAATCTCATCTTTCACATTTTTTGAAATTTCTAGTTTTCATGGCTGTGAAGAAAAGCTTGTAAACATCATCCACATACAACAGTTTAAAAATCAAACGGAAATAAAAGGAACTGCAAATAAATTAATATTTCAAAAAGCATAATGATTTTTAAGACAATGATTTGATGATTCAGTAATTATTTTTAATGGTTGGAGTTGGCAATGCTGCAATATTAAAAACAATTCTTAAAATCATTTCATTGAGAAGCTCTGGCATCAATATACTTTGGAGCAGCAACTTAATATTGGAAGAGGATGTCCTGGGGTCATAGAAATGCATTTTGCTGTCCCTGAGAAAACCCACTTAAATTTGTTCAGGTTAAGTCTTTAAAACATTTTTACACATGCTCAGTAGGGATTTGATAGAGACTTTCAGAGACATTTCCAAAGACTTAATCCATAGGGAGCACGTTCCAGCCTATTCTATCAGAACTAAGCAGCACTTTCATCCAAGTTGCTCTTTCAGGGTATGTCTACATTGCATTCCTCCTTTAAGAGAAGAATGCAAATGCAGACAAACGAAATTGAAAATGAAGCACGGATTTGAATTTCCCGAGCTTCATTTGCATAATCACGTTATGGCGCACTTTTGAAAAAGTGCTATTTCCAAAGTGAAACTGCGATCTAGACACCGTTATTTTGAAAATGGCAGGCTCATTTTTTTTAGGAGAACAGGATCTTTCAAAAAAGCCTGCCGTTTTTGAAATATCCGCGTCTAGACTGTGGTTTCACTTTTGAAATAGCGCTTTTTTGAAAGCGCTCCATAACATGATTATGAAAATGAAACATGGGAAATTCAAATCCATGGTTCATTTGCAATTTCGTTTGTCTGCATTTGCATTCCTCTCTCAAAGGAGGAATGCAATGTAGACATACCCTCAGGCTGCCAGGGACTTAGCACTAGAACTGTAAACAGAGAAATTGTTCCTCCTCTGCTGTGAATGCTCCTATGGCTGACACCTAGACTATATCTACACTGCAGGGAAAGTCGGAAAAAGATACAGAAATTACGAACCACAATCTTTTCCCGCTTTTCTTCCAAAAGAGGATTTCCCGACATTTGGCCTGTCTATACAGGGCAAAATGTTGGGGGAAAACCCCTCTTTCACAACATCCCTTCTTTCTCACAAAAAGAGGGTTACAGGGATGCCAAAAAACACATCCGCTTTTCCGAATTTTTTTTCAAAAAAGCACACACATTCCTTGGATGCAGCAGAGCTTTTCCGGGATACTAGAGGTATCCCAGAAAAGCTCTGCAGTGTAGACATAGCCCTAGATAACACCAACTGCAAGATAAAAAGGAACAGAGGCAGGCTCGGAGACAGTGGAAGTAGATAGACAGATAGGCTAGAGTAAAAGGTTGTTATCCAATATTTCCTTTTAGCCTAATTTAATGTGCAGCCTCAGGCCTTTTTTATTGCATACCCTCCAAAACCTACAATGAATACAGAATTATGTTTGAGCATGCGCTTTTCTATGACTCTTATTGCTGTAGAATCTAGTGATTCACAAACACTAATGAATTTATCCTTACAACACCACTGTGAAGTAAGGTAGATTGTTCTCATTTTACAAATGTGGAACAGACACACAAAGATTAAAATCAAAATTGTCAAAATGCCTACTAAACTTGAAATCGATGATTTTTCAGAGTATTTAGCATTATATAGTACTTTATATGTTCACATGTGTAGGGCCTACTGACCTCCATTGTAGTTGGAATGCTCAACCTTCTGCAGACCAAATTTCAAGAATCTCAGGGTCAGCACCAGAAAATGAGAAACACAGGATGACCCGTGAAAAATTTGGTTTAAATGATTTGCCCTTCATCACAAAATAACTCTAGGAGAGAGAGAGATGGATAGAATCCAACTGCATTCAGTTAAAGAGAGACCAACCTTTCTCTAGATAGTTCACTTTCCAGTTTATTCAAGAAATAAGGCAGCAGGGCTCCTACAGAAAATAGACCCATACACTTCACAACCCTAATTTCATTCTTGGAGCACCATCCATCCTGTGTTCTGAATGAGATAATAATCTTGTAGAAAAAAGTATGTGAGCATGCAATTACAGACTGAATCATAATACACGGACAACCTTAATTATATTTTTTAACTTTTGAGTGCTTGACTTTGCAACATTAATGTTCTTTATGTTAATTTTGTATGTAATACATTCTTAATTAGTAAATATTTACTTAGCTATTTATGAGCTAAAACCCTTAACTTGCAGAAAGGTTTATGAAAGGCCTCAAAGGCAATGGAAAAATAAAAAACCCTCAGTTTTACTGAATGAAGTGGTTGGACTCAGTGACCTCCTGAGGTCTCTTCCAAACCTAAGTCAACCACTATCTGATGAGTTTTGGGAAGAAATGTCTCCTATTGACAGGTTATTTCATAACTGTGCACACCTTGAACCTTCTTCTGAAACATTTGCTACTGGCCACTGGCAGAGAGGATGCTAGACCACTGTTTTGACCCATTATGGCTATGAATTCATTTCCCACAGCCCTCATCAATGTATTATATGCACAGCCAGCTTACTCAGAATGTGAACAGGTATAGGATCAGGATTAGCCTTGAAGATGCACAACTTGAATTGTCAATAAAAGATCAAATCTCAGATAGAATTTATGTAGAAATACAGATGGAACTGTGGCTATTTAATAACACTGGGTTCATGTTTAAAAAGATACTGTTTTTCTGAGAACAGGTGAAAATTTAACACAAAAATACTGTGGTTCCAGTTTAGCAAAATACTTAAGCATATTTCTAATTTAAACATGTGAGTAATCCCACTGATTCAGGATTATTCATATGCTTCAAATTAGGAATATGCTTAAGTACCTTGCTTAATTAAGGCTCATAGACACAAGGGGCTGTCATCCTTAATAAAAACCAAATCTATTTTATTATAATACATTCAAATTGAAAGGAATCACAGCTCAGCTAGGTACAACACTTTCATCTGCTCCCTAGTTCCTCCCCTTTACCATCTCATGAACCTAGCAGTAATTTCCCTCTATTCACTAGAGCAGCCCATCAGTACAGACACACAAATCAGCAGTGGTCAGGAAAACACAACCAGTAAATCAACATGCACTGGGAGAGCAGGGGCATATGTGAAACCACCTTACATTTAATATATGTCAGAGAATCTTGTTAGGCCAACGTTGCTTCTAGCCCTCAAAACCCTATTGGTGAATTCTTGCTGCTTTGATAATTGCAGACAGAATCTACCTCTATAGAGACACAGGAAAGCCTGAATCATGGCTTTTCTACTTCCCTCCCTATGAAAGGTATTTTTAATTAATCACACTCTCATTTCTCAAACTTAGGCTCCCAAGCCCTTTTTCTGATCTCTGGGTGTGTAAGCCAGTGCTTTTCTACAGTGTTTTTTCTGACTAAAGATTTTCCTAGCTACAAAGAAATAGGTGAGGATTTTTTTTTTTAAACGACAACCAAGAATTGAAGAGCAAGTCATGGAGCTGCATGAGCTCTCCACCCCCTGAGTCATTCTGCTGTCTTTCATAGCCTGTGATATGCGATTAAAAATAATAAAGAAAAAAATGATGTCTGTGCCTCTCACAACCCAGAATGGAATTTTTGAAATAAAAATTTAGCCTTCATATATATAAAACAATTCACATGATGTGTCTTATGTGAAGTCTGCAGTGGTGCAAAACTGTATTTAATTATAAGAACCTTCAAGATAGGGGAGACTAGTTTTATTTTAGTTTATTTATTTTAGGGGCATAAAACCCCAGCAGACCTGCAATGCCTTCCAAGAGAAGGAATTTAGAATAGAAAGCCAAGCCTCTGTCTGAAGATGGTAGAGAGAAGCAATACACCTCTGCAACATAAAGCTTGGCAATCTCGCTGTCTCGTTAATATACTTTAACATTTCACTTCAATTTGTATTCTGCATAAAGCACCAATATAACCTTCAACAGAGAGATATAACACTTGTAGATGACAACTGAAAAAACAACAAATACTATCACTGAGATAAAAATAAAAAAATTAGAATTGATTCTGAAAAATAACAAAATATACACAGATTCTTAAGCATATAAGACCAGTGAAACCCAAAGTATGCCAAAATAATTTATGACTAGACTCAGACCTAATTTTAGGACAAAATCAGCATGAAAATGCTATCCAGCTAAAAAGATGGCTTTGTATTCTCTGCTCCTCTTGTTGCATCTAATATTAATTGCAAACTAGGTGTGGCAGCATGAGAGATGAACATGGCATAAAGAGACTGAGATATACTGTATGATTCTCTTAATGAAATATCCTGTTGTCTTACCTGATAAAAGAGAATTGCAAAACATAGCATGAGATATATCCATACACTTGTAGGTAATCAAGCTCCTTCTGCTGCAGTTGTTCAGGTTCTTCAGCAAAGAAGCTTGTAACTCTTACATTTATACTAGCCTCATTGAAAGAAAAGGGGGAAAAATAACAAAGAAACCTCTGCAGTATTCTGTCTCCTCTGCCCTAGCTTCCTGTTATGAGATTCACTCTATGGTCCCCAACATCTACCAGCAACCTGATGGGGGAGTTTATGGGGGAGGGGGAGAAGAAAAAAAAAAAGCGTTAAAAAAAAAAAAAAAAAAAAAAGCAGTAGCATATTACATGACATCTCCACCTACTGGTAGAAAGAATGAGAGCATCTAGCTTAACATCCTTATTGTCAGAACTGCAAGTTACCTTAAAAAAATCTAGTATAATCAGTACTTAGCCTACATCCACATTGATCTAAAGGAAGAAAATACGAACTATTGAATCTGACCAGTAAATATTTAAGTATTTAAATATTAAATATTTGCTATATACCAATATCTAACATGTTTAAGTATAAAATGTTCATCCCCTTGTAAATCTCCCCTGCTGGAGGCAGGGCCGGCTCTAGGTTTTTTGCGGCCCCAAGCAAAAAAATCCCCCCCCCCTTTTTTTAGTCCAGGGAGGGACTTGGAGGACACGGGCACTGCGAACACCAGAGTTCCCCTTCCTTAGACAAAGGGAGATGGAGAATCACCTGGATCCCAGGGAGGGGTGAGGTTGTCAGTTCACAGCACAAGGGGGCTGGGTTCCTGGGCAGGTGTGTGAGGGAGGAGAGGGGGGATTGTTTAGAGAGCCAGACATGGAGATCCAGGTAGGAGGCAGGAGGAGGGGGGAGAAGAGGAGACGGAGTCCCAGCAGGTAGGGTAGAATGAGAGTTTTGCAGGGCCCAGGGCAGCACAATTTCTCCAGGCCCCCCCTTTGGAGAAAAAAATAGAAAAAAGGCATCAAATGCACAAATTGAAGGCTATTTCCATATTAAATGTGAATTGGGTAAATTTGATAGAAACTTAATTTAGTTGGATAATTTTTATTCTACTTATATTGTAATTCATTTTTAAACAAAATTCTGCATTAATAAAAAGGGGAGAGATGTCCAAATGTTGAGCAAAAAACCTGCCCTCTCCCCCCAAAAATAATCATGGCACCTTTAAATCTCACACTCCCCACCCCCACCAGACATGGCAGGGCAAGAATGTCCCAAGTGGCTTTCCAGCTGAGAAAAACTGAAAATACCAGACATTTCACTGGTCCGGTATTTTCTGGGGGCTTTTTACCTGACAGAAGCCACAAATACTGGACTGTCAGGGCCAATACCAGACACCTGGCAGCCTAGTCGTAACTCAAGCTTGCATTTACAATAGGCCAAGGACATAAGTTGAGGGATTTTGGCCCCTTCCCCACTTCGGAAAAAGTTCATAATGGTGGTGGGGGGGCAGGGGTGACATAAATCGGGCTGTTATAAAGCAGGGGCCTCCTGTATTTGTGGCAGAGGTGGGAAACCTCTCTTGGGTTAGGGGACACTGACCCCACAGAAAAATCAGCTGGGGACCACACAAACAGGCTGGCGACCAGCAGGCCTGGCCGGCAGTTTGGACTGTGTCTCAGGGCAGGGGTCTAGGGTGCAGGGTCTGGGAGGAGGGTTATGTGGGTGAAGATATCGGAGTGGGAGTGGCTGGGGGGCCGGACACTTACCTAAAAGTGCTGCTCGCCTGTTTCTCCCACAAGAGCTGCCTGGCCAGGTGCTGGGGGATTAAAAGCCTGAGGGGAGCGGTGATTGGTGGGTTCCCGCAGCTGCCATTGTCCAGGTCCGGCCAATGGGCTTGTGCGGGGGGCGGAAGCAGCTCTGAGGGACCCTCCCCTGCCGGCTCGCAGCTCCTGCACCACAAAGGGCCCTGCCCAGCTGTTCTGTTCTGTGTGGGGATGGGGCTGTACTATTTTGAGGGCATTTCTTCTTCCCTCCCTCTCTCCGTTTAGCTGCCTCAGAATAACATGAGGCTAGTGCACATGGGGGAAACTGGAGTCTGTCAAAGACCAATAGTTCTACCAGTCAGTACTATGCATATGCAAAGAGCAATAGTTTTTTCAGGATATGCAATACATCAGTGGTTCCCAATCTTTTTGGGCTTATGGACCCCTGTGCCCCGTCCCACCCTGCCCTCCCAGCGCCCTACCATGCCCCAGTACCGCATCCCGGGGCCAGGCGCAGGCTCCGAGCAACCAGGTGTGGGGTTCCCAGCTCAGGGCAGCCTCCGATGGGCTCCTCACCGCCCTGCTCCTCCTGAGGGCCAAAATGCCGCCCCTGCCAATGTGCCGCCCCAAGCACCTGCTTGGTTTGTTGGTGCCTGGAGCCGGCCCTGGCTGGAGGAGGTGGGGGGAGGATGCTGGGGGAAGGTGTGTGTGAGCAGCAGACAACTTTTACCATGGAGGGTGCTCCTGGGCTCCCCTCCACTTCCTTCTCCTCCCAGCAGGCTTCCCTGGCAGGGGCTTGGTGTCTTCTGCCTCCCTGCGCTGTCCCTGGGAGTGGATGCTGCTCCAACAGTGGAGGCATGGCCGTGTGCTGTGTGCAGCATCGTTGTGTTCCCCTCTAGTGGTGGCTTGGGGTTGGAAGGTGTTCTACCCCAGTGTTGGAGTTAAAGCAGGCCTCTCCAGACACCCTGAAAGCCAGAGTACAAGGGTCCTCTGTTGCAGCCTCCTGGGGCTCTGTGCCCCGGACTGGTGCTCCATGTGCTCCCACATCCACAGGCTGCTGCATGGTCCCCAGGCCAAGATGCCTCAGTGGAGGGTGAGCAGCTGTCCCTTGCCACCTGCTGCCTCCACCAGTTTGTGGCACTCACCTGATGGGCTTTCCCTGGCTTTAGATGAAGCCTGGGAGACATTCTAGGAGGGCAGTACCAGCCTAAGGATGAGCATGACCTCCTGGCTGGTGAACATTGAGCTGGTGCTGACCTCATCTGGCTCCTCTTCCTCCACCTCCACACTGGTTCTGCCCCCTGAGAGGGTGACTATGGCACCTCCAGCCCAGAGTCCAGAATGATATGAGGGGAGGGACTGAGCCCCCTCCCAAGATATGGTGAAAATGGTCATAATAAGGGCAGATTTAGGGTGTCTCCCCAGAGCAGGAGCTGCACTCCCTGGCCTTGGCATAGGCCTGCCTAAGTTCTTTAATTTTCATATGCACATGCTCCTGGGTGCGCAGGTGGCCCTTGGTGGCCAGGCTATTTCACTAGGAGGGTGATGAAGCACTGGAATGGGTTACCTAGGGAAATAGTGGAGTCTCCATCTCTAGTGGTGTTTAAGTCTCGGCTTGACAAAGCTCTGGCTGGGTTGATTTAGTTGGGATTGGTCCTGCCTAGAGCAGGAGGCTGGACTTGATGACCTTCTGAGATCTCTTCCAGCTCTATGATTCTAAGATGTTGGAGTTCCTGCATCTGGTGAAGAGATCCTGGAGGTTTGCCTCCTCTCCCCAGACCTCAGTGAAGTCCAGGAACTCTGCACCAGACCATGAAGTCGCATCTCCAAGCAGGATTTGGGGAGTAGGCTGCCTGCTTAGCTGCAGCCATGGAGGGCTTGGTGGGAGCATGGAGGTGGCTCATGGCAGCAACAAAAGCTATGGAGCCTACCACAGCGTGGCACAGGGCAGGCAGGGACTGCATTGTGCCACAAGCCCTTACCTGTGTGGCTGCAGCTTTAAGGGCTGTGGAAGAGGAACTATGGGGTTCTGATGAATATGGACAGAGTGTCCAGTAGGGCATCTGTGGGGAGCCCTGGAGCCACTTATTTTGAAATAAGGTGCCCATTATTTCAAAATTATTTTGGAATAACGGGCTTTCTATGCAGACACTCACTTTGGGTATGTCTACACTACAAAGTTAATTTGAACTAACGGACGTTAGTTTGAATTAACTTTGATAGGCGCTACACTAGCGCTCCATTAGTTCGAACTTAATTCGAACTAATGGAGCGCTTAGTTCGATCTAGGTAAACCTCATTCCACGAGGACTAAGCCTAGTTCGAACTTACTAGTTCGAATTAAGGGCTGTGTAGACCCTTAATTTGAACTAGTGGGAGGCTAGCCCTCCCCAGCTTTCCCTGGTGTCCACTCTGGGCACAACCAGGAAAATTCCTCTCCTCTCCCCCAGCCCCGGGCCCTTAAAGGGGTAGACTCTGGCCAGACGGCACTTGAGACAGCCAGCCCTCCCAGCAGTCTCTGCCCCTGACCCAGTGGCCCCACCATGAGCCAGGCAGCCAGTGGCAGGGG